TGGGACACAAATGACAGAGGGAAGTGAATGTAGACCAAGCAGCTTTAAATTGTTGAATCTAGTTCAGTAAGATGCAGAGAGAGTTCTTTACGACATTAAGAAAAAAAAAACTTTAACAGGCTAGAAACGGTGTGATTCTATTGTCTCTGTAAATGGTTTACTCTTTTGTCTCTCTCAATGTGGTGCTGCCCTTGAATAAGTGATGCCTGATCTCCATTAAACTGATGAGTTTGCCCGTCTTGCCTGAAAGTTTTGGGAGCCATCATGTCTATCGTGTTGGAACACTGCTGCAAAAGAGAAACAGACCATAACACTGTACAAAGTCCTTTTTATAATTACTCAAAAAAAGAGAGATGTAGCTCAGTAGCTTACCTCTGAACAGAGAGAGGGGTTTCAGTCGACAGAAACCCAATTCCAAAATAAAAATTGGGACAAAGGCAGCATAGGACCAAACACACAGTCACATGGGCTCAGAATGACTTTAAAAAGTCATTGTGGCTGAACACCGTCTGCGGCTGCATCTGAAATCTCTCCTGGCAGAGATTGAATCAAGCAGAGATCCAACCATTTGTTCTGCTCAGAAATGTTGAGTCAACTTCTCTGGGCCTGAGCTTCTGTGAGAAGGACTACAAAACAAGGTAAATCTCATTGGTTTTAGAAAAAACAAATGTTTGATTTTTTTTTCTAAAACAAAAGGTGCAAAGAAGAAGTATGTCCAGATTGATTTTTTAAAAAGTACTAAAAATAAAATGTCACTGGTGATATACAGTATATGCATTATATAGCGATATGATTATCTGGCCTGATACAGTATTAAAATACTCATACTAAAAATGTGACTATCCAGTTCTAAATCCCAGTTCTAACAGCACAGTTGATGGATGTTATTATATATATATATAGAAACTAAATACTAAGAAAATACTGATACACACTCTAAGCGCAACTATGTTTACTGAAAAGTAGCAGACAACTTTTAAATGACATGCACTATTGGCGTGAATCTCCAGCTGGCCTTGTTCCCTGTGGAGAATTTATTTTTAATGCATCGTTAAACTTCATCTTATTGATATGTTGTCTAACTGTGAACTACAATCCTCAGTTCATAACTGATTCAAAAGTGAATAATAAAAGACAGAAAGTGACCCAGGGTAATACTTTGCTTCTACTGCAACCTTTTGGAATGTAAAAATGAGTTATGTTTAACAAATTATGCAAAAGTAAAAATTCTTCATTATTTTCTTTCTTCTGTTTCCTGTCAGCTTCCTGGAAAGGAGGTTTGTAAATGGGAACAACAAACCTGTCGAATAGAAAATATTTATATCTCACTGCTGGCAGCTCCTCTCCTGGGCAGAGACAAAGACACACAAAGAACTTCTGGTATTTATCAGACAGTGGGCTTTGAAATCATTGAGAAGATTATAAAGTTTAGGATTAAGTATTAAATGACCGTAAAGGGTCAAAAGGTCGTAAAGGTGAAGATGGTGAGGGAGGTTGTTGTGCCGAGTCATGGTTGAGTTATGGTAACTCTCTCCTTGTCTTCCCTCTTCCTGTTGATGTTTAAACCTCATTCCGGCCACTTTGTTTTCCTGCTATCTGCTCATCCACTCATATTGTCTACTGACAGGTTTGTTTCTCTCTATATCACCCCTGTAACTGTTCAGCCCCTGAGAGTGGCTCATTATATTAGTCCACAGCAAACATACAGCAGCTATTCAGCCTATATTAGACTGCAATCAGCCCAGACTTGAGAACCGGCAGGCTTTGTTTTTTTTATTTGCTATAACTCCTATCTGTATTCAACTGTGTCATGTACAGCCATGTGAATTAAACAAAAAGTTTACGAACCTTGAGATACAAGCATATTTCATTCCAGGACCGAGCTCGTAACTTGAGGTGCTCGTATCTCTAATCCCGTAAGAAATAACAGAAAAATAATTAATTTGTTCTCGTTTTCTCTAGGGCCTCTAAAAAACAATGGAAAAAACATGTTTTGAATTGCTATAGAGACACACACAAAATATATAGTATATAAGGATTCCTGTGATATAAAATAAAAGGTGGTTTTAATTATGAGTTCTTATCTTCGAGACAGACGATACAGTAGAGGCTAATGGAGACGTGGGGAGGAGGAGGAGGGAGGGAAGGAGTGAGAGAGAGTTGGCCCGTACGTAGACACTTGATTCCATACCGTACCTTACACATACACTACGTAACTTACATAAACTTATAATTAACTTAACTACCGTATTATTTGTTTTTTACTTTAAGATGGTACATATCGTGGATGTACTGCGATCATACATGCGTGCTGATCACTCACGCGGGCACCACGCTCATATTTATTGACTCACTACCATCCTTACCACTCACTTTCTTAGGACTCATCACTATTATGAAGAATAATTAACAAAATAGAGAGAAAATCACAGAAGCTGAGGGCTCGGTCACCTAACATTAGTTCTGTAAGCGTGCTCGTATATCAAATCTTTACTCATATCGCAAAGCTAGAATATACTCAAATGCTTGCATTGCAATCCTTGAAATACTCATATGTCGAGGTTCCACTGCATTTTGGTCGTTAATTTAGATGATTTTCGAAAAGGTTAAAGGGTTTTACTGTAAGACATTTCAGTCAGAGTTCCTTTTTGTCTATTTTACTATTTATTTGAAAAACAAAACTATAAACACCTCCCTTTAACCTGTCTAATCTTAACATTACCCTGAAACAGTAGTCCGGATGTAACATTTCAAACAGCAGCTGTGATTTTATATCGATTTGACATGTGAAAATAGAAAAAACCTAATTTATCAAAAACACTATAACACTACTCTCTTTCATTACACCCTAAACCAGTGTTTCTCAAACTGTTTCTACTCTGTACCACCTGAGAAAACATCGATCTCTCTGAGTACCACCATGACATAACATTAGAATTCCCCTGCTCGTTCCACGTTCAACTTGCAAGTGATCCCATGATTCTGTGCTGCCTGTGCTTATACGTGAGCAACAGATTTGCAGTGCAGCAAAAAAACAGGTAAATAAATAAAAAGACCAGACTTCCTATTTCATAATCTCACAAGTAGATACATATTTTTTCTAAATGTTGTATTAATTGTGCCTGGTATGTTTCAGATTTATTCAATTGAAAATTGTGAAAGTGAAAAGTGAAAATACGGATTTTCCACTTACCACTAGATAGTGCTTGGTACGCGTACCACAGTTTGAGAACCACTGCCCTAATTCATATACTTGAATTAATTATTAATTAATTTATTTTAATCGAACACACTTTACCTTCATTTGAGGCCAGTGGGACAGACGTGATAAGCCATGTGTAATCTCTGTGTTATTGTCACATTTCAAATAATCCTTTCCTCACTTCTGTGGCAGAAAAGCTCCTGCATCATTACACCACACCCACCTACTCATGCCACTCCCCCCCCCCCATCTTCCCAGTGTCAGTGAGGTTATTGCAGTGCTCCAATCCAGAGAACTGATATCACTGTGCAGATTAAAGAAGGTGGACAGATTGGTGATTTCATATCAGGTTCAAAAAGTAATGACATTAATGGTCTTCACATGGAGCTGCACTCACAAATGGGACATATTATATTCAACCCTCGGCTCAGCAGCTCGGCATCGGCCCAGAACTTCACCTGCAGGTCACAGTTATGGGATTCATTTGCCCAAAAGCATTTTGAGTGTGCTGATGTCACAATGACTCACTGCGGAGCAGCTGTGGTCGGATGGAAAAAGAATATCCCTGGCTCAGAGGAACAGTGGTGTTGATGACGTTCACCCTACCACCCTACTGTTCTTCCGTTACAATTACTCAGCCGTTTTAACACTTAAATAAACATTTATAATAATAATAATAATAATAATAATAATAATAATAATAATAATTTTAATTTAATAGAGTCCGGAACCTACACAGAAAGAGCATGCTGCTCACATTTTCTCCTGTAGGGGGTGCAGGTCTAAATACACAGCTCCATCAGTGAGTGATGCAGTATTGTTGTTTTGTTTTAAACTAATTCTGTTATACAGAGCAACTCTAAGTAACGTAGATTTAGCTTTGACGATTATATAAAAATAGCAGGTGATCAAATATTTTAGCAGAACAAAAATAACATGCCCCTCTCTGGGTACTTCGCACTGAGCTCTGGAGCTGCACACCTCCAAATGTTTGTGAAATAAAGATACCCAGACAGGCTTCACCGACTCCAGAACTGTTTTAGAGCACATTATTATCCAGACCCCAATGTGATGAAAGTCTGCCCTTAGAAAATTATGTTTTGATGGAAAAAAAAATCTAATGCAGAAATTCTCATCTCACAAAACAATAAATCAAATGCTCTTAATGACATTAAAAGGTTTAACTGTTAGTTTTCAAGGGCTCACCTGGGCTGAGATACCCCTCTACTACCACCACCTGCTGCTCTGCTTTGGATGACTCACTGGTTTAAGACAATTCCTGCACACTAAAAAAGTAAAAAAGTGTAAAAAAATAGAAATATTCTTACATATTAATATCTAAGAATATTTATCCATATATGCCATACACTAAACACATATACACTAAAAACTGTCTTAATCTGTGTATTTAATCTACTGTAGCAGTGCTGTCACACTTCTCTCTGGGTTCATGTCTGCTGTGAAAACATTTATTCATAAAATGATGTGAACTTTGGTTTTAGATGGAAAGAAAAAACATGTTTTCTTGCTGCTGACCTTATGGTGCATTTGATAGATAGACAGCTGTGTTTGTTTTATACATTTTTGATATATGACCCCCGACATACTGTATTACACACTGATGGCCATATTACTCTGTGGCATCGATGTGGCCTGTCATAGCATATAGATAGGTTCTCTGTGTTGTTTCATGCCTTAACAATAAGGTAAAGGGTGAATTCCCTGTGCCCTACTAAACGACGATGAATGATGAGACAGCTGCAGTTCAGAAGTGTCATTCTTTATAATAAACCCAGATTTATATTCAGAATCAAGACTTGACATTTGGAAAAAGTGAACTCATGTCATTTTAAGGACAGGCTTTGATTGTTTTATTATTATCATAATTATTATTATTATTTCAGTGCTACAAAGCTCATGGTGTAAGGATGGAAATCCCCCGCGTGTCTCATGATTGGTAGTATGGAATCAGCACATGACACGTCTTGCATGGCAATACAACGATGGCTGCCGACGCATATACTGTATAGGCTATACACTGTAGCGACTAACACTGAACTAACATGAGCTCGTACATTAAGAGAGCGGCAGAGTTCCTGTCTTGTCTCGTCTCATCAGTGGCCGCTGACCTAGGGCTTCTTATTTGTACAAGGTTCTCAAACGCACCCCTAAAAGAGACTTTCCCTGAAAGAGAGTCCGGGAAATCAGTTTCCCTGTTGTCCATCTATGACCCAGACAGCCCGCACGCGGTCACGGTCTGTGGAATTTGCATTTGATAATCTTCTTGAAAGCACTTTGGAAATCTTTGTTGAAGTAAGCATAGATGATGGGGTTGAGGAGAGAGTTGGAGTAGCCCAGCCAGTTGATGACTGCGCCCAGCCAGTCGGGCATGTAGCAGCGCTCTGCACAGAATGGCAGCACAAGTGCGACGATGAAGAAGGGCAGCCAGCAGAAGATGAATGTCCCCATGATGATCCCCAGTGTTTTCACCGTTTTCCTTTCCCTGGCCAGGGCGATCTTTCTCTTCGCCCCCGAGTTCTTGTCGTTCATGTTCTCGTAGCCATGAGAGGACTGCGGGGTGTTGGGGAGGGGCAGGTGGGTCTTGGAGTTGCTCATAACTTCTATGATCTCCAGGGACTCTCCCTCATCCCCGTGCCTCACTGCACCGTTTACGCACGGAGAGTTGTTCTTGGACTCGCTGCGCTTCCAGCCTTTGCTCCCGGCCTCGCCGTTGCTTTTCTTGTGGAAGATCGCCGGGGAAATGGTCAAGCACTTGTCTGATACTTTTGTGGTCTCTGTCTTTTTGACCGTCTTCCGAATCCGAAAACGAGCAGCTTTGAATATTCGCCCATACAGGACCAGCATGAGGATAAGAGGGATGTAAAATGCGCCAAATGTGGAGTAGATAGTGTAGCCCGGGTCCTGGCTGATGATGCAGGCGTCAAGGTCCGCTCTGTCCTCTGCGCTCCTCCAACCTAACATGGGCGGTATAGAGATGGAGAAACCAATTAACCAGGTCACACTAATCAGGATCGCAGCTCGCCTTGGTGTCCGTTTATTTACATAGTCAATGGGGTCGGTTATGGCCCAGTATCTGTCCAAGGCAATTGCGCACAGATGCAGGATGGATGATGTGCAGCACAGTACATCCAGAGAGATAAATAAATCACAGATCTCTTGTCCAAGTGTCCACTTGTTCAAAACCTGATACAGAGCGGCCATTGGCAGAACCAAAACCGACACCATGAGGTCTGTTACAGCCAAAGAACCGATCAGATAGTTGGCCACATTCTGGAGAGACCTCTCCAGCGCGATGGCTGCCACGACGCACGCATTGCCAAATATTGAGCAGAGAATGAGAGCGCCCAGGAGCAGAGAGGTGATAATCTGGTAACTCAGTTTCACATCGGGTGGAGACCGAAACCGCGTCCCATTCTCGGATCCGTCCCAGTCTCCAACCACGTCCATCCTTTGATGGTAACCGCTTGTTGTGTTGCTGTCGTTAATGCTTGTTATAAAATCCATAATTGGAGCGCGGTAAAAGTGCACAACTTTTTCAGTTGTGAGGGCGCACAGCTAGGCTGTTGGGAAGGACACCGTCAGCCCCTCAAACTGCTGCTACTGCTGTTGCGGTGTCTTTTACCGGGGTCCATCGGAGTTACCGGGTTCGTGCCGTCTCTCTCAGTACGCATGACGCAGGCGTGTTCGTGAGTGTGTGTATGTGCGTGCGTGTGCGTGTGGAGGGGCGTGCTGTGGCCCTGAAGTGTTGACAGCCGGGAGCGCTAACTCGTACAGTTATCATCTGAGCCTTGTGACGACGAGAACTCCTTTATACCAGCTGGTTTGAATACGTCAGAAGGCGAGAAGGTCGCCCTGAAGTTTTATGCCTGTGCTGCGCGAGTTGCTCAGTTTTTCATCACAGACAACCGAAGAAGACGCACAGTCTCCTCTACTTTCTTCTCCTTTTCCTCTGATTTACTTTGGATTTACTTAGATTTACTTAGAGTCGCTCTATTCGGATTACCTTTATGATGGTAAGAGGTAGGAATAACAGGGAAAATAACGACTCACTTTTTTGTTGGGCTAGTCGAGTTAGTTTAAACGCGAAATATAAAAGTATTTATAAGAGTATTTTAGTCAAAATCAAACATTACACACATTTATCATAAGTTAAAGGTCGTCAGTGTGAAATTAGGACAGGGACAAGACTGTTCTCGTTGGACATTAAAGCCCGGATGAAAGAAAGCGCTAAAGAATTGTGGTTTCAGCACCAGGGACAGCGTCACAACAATTCAGCGAGGACAGCTGCTGCCATCTGCTGATAACAATGTGTAGTGCACCAAACGGTGTCTGATCAACCTTCCAGTAGCGCTGTGGTCCTCAAATCCTTTTGCCTCGCGGACCGGTTTTTCGATTTTTCCACGTATCAGCAGTGTGTTTGTGTGTGTGTGTGTGTGTGATTGTGTTTGTGTGTATGTGTGTGTGTGTGTGGGAGGGGGAGTGGTTGGGGGGGAGGGAATTCACAATGAGGTCCATGATATATTTTCATTATTACATAAATAATTAAATACAACTATTATTTTATATAGTGCAGTGCCTCAGTCTATAGTGCAGACTGACGTAGATTAAAAATAAATACCACTTGTTATTCAGTCTGTGGTACAAATTGATCCACGGCTCACACTTTCAGACTGACCATAAATAAAAAATAAAAAATAACACCTTCTCCGAGGCTGGACTTTTTGGAGTTTAAACCACAAACTCAACTTTGCCAAAACTGTTTTTTGTCTAATGGTCAGCACTGAAACCTGACTAGTGGTTTCAGACTTAATTGCCTTCATATAATGTTGCCTTCCAGTACAACCATCCCAAATGGTTTCTTAATTAAACACCATTCAAACGTTGACAGTTAATTAAACAGTCACAACCTAGAGCAGCTATAAACATCCGGTGCTGTTTTAAACTGAATAATAAAAGCCAGTGGTCTCTAGACTTATTAAAAAGGAGCTCTTATAAGAAACAGGTGTTTGGATAATAATTTGATCCGGAGAAAAAGTAAAAGTATAAAGGTAACAGGATGAAAGAAGGAAAACTTAATGAAATATTTACTAACAAAAAAAGCTTAAATAAAATCATTCTTTTGAAATAAAAGTAAATTTAAATCAATATTGATTTAGAGCTGTAGGACAATTCTTGTAAAGTATTATTTCAAATTACATTATAAGCAACATAATGAATGAATCAATGAATGAATAAGAAATGCTGACACCACATGGATGTGATGTGTAAAGACTGCTCTGGCTTTTTCATCTTTTTCATCCTGTTCAATGACCGTGAAGAGAGGTTTCTATAGGCCGCGCTGAACAATACAGTGCACAGTGAACAGTGCAACTATTGTCACGGGGCTCATGGAAGGGTCTTTGTCTGTGTCAACATTGTAGAATGTCCCACTGAGATGTAGTAGTAACAGTAGTAGGATGGGACGGGCCAGAGGAGTACAGGGCTCACCTCCTCCTGTCCTTATTTTTGAAAAAGACTTGGACGCTGTACATTCAAAAGATGTTGGACTTAGATACACCAATAAAGGAAAAGGCTCGATTGAAGAAACAGAATCTCTTTGCTGGTGCCTGAGGCATCCAACAGCATCACCATGGACTCCTGGTTGGAGGATGTTGAGATAAATATCTCAAGGGGAATTGAAGGCTGTAGGTCTGAGGATGAGAGCAAAGAAAAGGGCTATGATGACGCACAACACGTGAAGGCAGTGAGGCCTAAACTGAGAAGTTCTGCTCAAGCAGAAGAGGGAAGTGTGAAGCGCCTGGTGAGGCCCCCATTACCTGGGAGAAAATCGCACAGGAAGACCAGTAATAAGGACAGCAGAGGAGCGTGGAGCCCCGAAAACCAGGACTTTGATGAGCAAATACCAATAAGCAGTGGAAAACTGAGGCAAAAAAAGGCTGGTAGATTTCTTAGAGATAGAGCGCAGGAAAAATGGGAAGAAGGAACCCCCAGGAGTTTGCAGAGAAGTCGCTCGAGTGTGGAATTATTTGGTGCCTGGGATTTTGGAGAAAGTTTTAACAGCTCACAGCGTGGACACAACTGTTCCAGACCTTTGTGTGTTGGATGTTCCCAGACAAACAACATCAGTTTGTCGGCCCAGTCTCTCCAGCCCACAATGAAGCACGTGTCGTCTTCACCCTCTGAGTCTCCTTTTCAGTCCAGACTCTCACCTCCCTCACCTCAGAGGCTTTCACCCAAGAAAGCACAACCAAGTTCACCCAGAGAACCAGATAACTCGATGGAGGTAAAAGCTGGGGCAACAACTGGACAATTGTCAAGACATCAGAGCCTGGAGTTAGGAGAAGATGATGATGAGGAGGAAGAGCAGAAGAATGGGGTGGATGAGGATGAGAACCTGGAAGATGAAGAGGAGGGAGCCCATGGTGTGACAGAGGTGATCAGTCATACTGTGACCCCTGCAGGAGGACAAACCTCTGAACACGCCATAGGGAGAAAAACAAGTAACAAAGAGAACAACAGGAGCAACTGTCGGAGACGGAGGCAGAGAAGACACGAGGTGTGGAGACAGAGTCCATGTCATGAAAAGCGACAGGTGACAAACGCAACAAAATATTGTTTAATCAGACTTCTGTCATTAAATCAGACAAAGAATGTTTATTTTATAAAAAAAATTATATGTATTGAAAATGAGTTTATAAAAAAGTTAATGTCTGGGTTGAAATATGTATCACATGCAAGACGCACAATTAATTTTAAATTATCATTAGCCTAACCCTAACCCTCACATGGTTGTTATTATTGATGTCTGTTTTTAAAGCCATAATATAATCAACTATGAAGCAACTGTTTCATACAGATGTCTGTACACATTTCTTAATATTCACTGTAATCCGCATATGAAGAAACAACAAGAAAGTAAACTTAATAAGAAAAACAAAAACATCACCCAGACGTGCATTAAAAAAGCTACTATTATATAAAGAATCAAGATTATCTATCAAAGGAGCATCAACAAAATCTTCGCTGCACTATGAGTTTTATTTAATAAAAAAGCTGTCAAAAACTTGACTCTGCTAAAGGAATAACAATTTTAAAAAGCTTAAAAAGCTTAGAGCATGTTTTTTCTGCAGGGCCCCCTTTTGTAGATAAGACAATTGTCAAGGCCCCTCAACATCAACACCATCACAGCTAATGATGAGTTCATTTTCACTCATTCAAATTGTTAAGTATTTAACTGAACACTGTTGTGCTCATCCTGTCGCCCATGCTATGCTAAACTAATTGCTGCTCTTGTTTTATGCTCAGCACATGCGCATACAACACACACAACACACACACACACACACAGTGATATCGATCTTTCTCTCTAATGCCCAGACAATATAAGACTAAATGTATTTCCCCCATTTCTGCCATCTTTGATTTATTGAGTGTAAATTGAGAAAGCTTTCCTGCTCATTCATCATAATTTATTGAAAGCACCAGGTCTTGTCACAACTTCCACTTTCAGTCTTACATTCATTTCCATCTCATTTCAAAAAAGACATTTTGCAAGAAAAGTATGTATTATGAAATTTAAAGGCGAACAGATTTGTGTTTGAAATTAGTTTTTCAGCCTTCAGTTGATATGATTTGGCACTGAACGATACAGTTTCCAATTTAATTCACTACATTTTTGCTCATGGATTATTTCAATCAAATTGACAAAAGCACTCACAAAGTCAGCCAAAGGTCAGTGTGTGGCTTCACCTTGTGTGTAAAAAAAATTTTTTTTTTTTTTTTGAAAACTTAAATGACATAACTGTGGTTTTATCAAAGATTAAGGTCATAGTTATTCATTTCCATTAACAAAATTATATTTTTACTCTGCAGTAGTTCTCTACTGGCCTAAACATTTATCCCAGTTATCAATGTCCACTCTGTGCTCAAACTAACCCCCATTGGTTTGTTTGTCACTTTTGTTTTTATGTGCTAGAATATTGTTTATGTAGATGCGCGGCCGTTGTATCCAAGACAGAGCTGCTATATAACAGTGTACGTTTCCAGGGCAGAGCCTGATTACATGCAAGCTGTTTGGGTGTGTGTTTCCTCTCCTGTGTTGATGACACACCTTGGGAAGTGTGGTTGATGTGACAGGGAAGTCCCTGGAGCTCCCCTTGGGTGTGGAGGTGGTAATAACTCTGCATTCACTGTTGAGCTTCCTTCTAATGTGGAGTTCCAGACACCACTCCCTGGGGGTCCACTGACACAGTCTTAGACTGATTTGGGATATGATTTTAAAATTGAGTTCTGCTACATCCTCTCATGTGACTTCCTGTGGGGATTTGGAAACTGGAGTCTGAGTGTGGCTTCGGAGACACTTGAAAGATGCTGAGGACAACGGAGGGATTTTAGCGCTTGAGTTGTCAAACGTACTGCAGTGTATATAACATAAAATATTTCAACTATATTAACATAACAAAGGACTGGCCCTCTGCTGTGAACACAAATACATTTCATTCTAGAGAAATGCGTGGCTCAAACTATGACTTAAGGGAAATCCTACAGTGGAGAATTCAGAAAAAGCTAAAATCCTCAGAAACATGTAAAGGATATTGACTGAAGCCCACAGCGGGGGTAGACTTCTCTCTCTCTCTCTCTCTCTGATGATGTGATGTTGATGTTAACTCACACCTGATGCACTTGTGTCCTCACACATCAGACAGACACAGACAGACAGGAACGTTTACACTCTTCTAATCAGGTGTAATGTAGGGACCACTCTGGTGTGGAAGGAATTAATTTTCACTTATGATTTTCTTACAATAACATCTGTAGTGAAGCCTTAAGACATGTCATATGCAAAATGTTCAAATCTCCAGCCCATCGTTCTTGTCTAATTTGCATATGTTTTCGTCTTAGTCAATGTATCTAAGCACTGTCCTCAGCACGGAGGCCACGCAGTTAAAAAGCCTTCAGTGCCTTATACTGTAGCAAGAAGATATATTTGTATGTTTGACATCAGATTAATTAGACACTGTAAAATAAAGCATACATATGGAGCTGGGTGTATTTGGTTGGTGGTCTCTACATGTGGCCCTGTGTTTGACTGGTGATCCAGCCGCAGAAGACTTTAGCACCCCCACTGTATAATACTCCAACCATACAAATTTTATACATATTTTTCACTTTAAGTCACTTCCTCTGTTTTGTACAACATGGCTATCTTTGTACCTCTTATTAGTACTTTTAATTGTTCAGTGCTGGACCCTAGAACGTTGAAAAATATTTTGTGGTAAAATTATATCAATATAGGTTAAGAATAACACTCTGTTGGTAATGTTGATGGGCTTTAGAAACACATGCAATTCTGTTGTTTTCTGCCAATGATTTTTACTTTCAGAAATGACTAGTTTGTTTTTTGTTTTTTCCTGCTTACCTAGAGTTCAACAGGAAACACATGCAGCAGCAGGAGCAGTAGCAGCAGCAGCAGCAGCAGCAGCAGTGATGATGGTGACATAAGCCCTGGAGACAAAGAAGGTTACATCTGTGCAGTGTGCCTGGATGTTTACTTCAGTCCTTATATGTGCCACCCATGCAACCACATCTTCTGTGAACCCTGCCTAAGGACCCTGGCTAAGAACAGCCCCACCAACACCCCCTGTCCCCTCTGCAGAACAGTGATCACACACGTCTTCTTTCAAAAAGGTCAGCAAAGGGCACCAAACAAAGCCAGACAAAACAAAATCAGTAAATCACTAAAACATGCATCAATATTATTCAACTCACCTCTTCACATAGTAAATGAGTGTCTACGGTAGGAGCATAAAGCATAAAGCCATGGCGTTCTGTATGTTTGTACATGGTTGTTGAGGAAATGATATCTGCAGCACATGTCCTATATGGAGCAGAGCGGATCTCAGCTCTGACAAGATGAGTCACCCACTAGGAGAGAATGAACACACATTATTACAGCGATTATGATTGGAATGAGAGAGATTCTCTGGGAAATCGGAGTGCACAGCTTTTTTTTTACAGCAGGAAGTATTGCTGCCCCAATATTTTCTTAACACTAAAGTGCAACACAGTCCACTGAAATAATGTGCCTTTACACCTATGATGCATTCACACATGCATGTTTCATGTAACCTCACAATTACGCCACACTGATTACAAAGGCTGCGGCTTGATTTGGAAAAAATCCATGAATGAGTAATGAAGTTGTGTAAGTCAAGTTGACCTACTTTTGGATATACGTCGCAGAAAGTGAGCGGCAACGGTCATAAGAGGCGAACAGATTGTGGGTACGAGCACTGCAGACTCACTGAGGGCCCTTGTTAGTGATTACATGACGAGGATAGAAGATTAGATCCTTGTTTTGATTACTGAAGCCAAGGTCATAGTGAAAGAGGAAAAAAAAGAAAATGAGAGAGTCTGGACTGGGCTCAAAATACTGTGTAAATGAAATATTATCTTTGTTTTCCAAATGAAGCGGTGTGACTCTCTCTTTGTCTTTCCTTACAGAGCTTAACCAAACAGCAAGAACGTTCTTCCCAAATGAATACCTCTCCCGAAAGCAGAATTTTCAAAGAACCAGTTACTCAAAGTGGCCTCTCCCAAGCTGTAGAAGATTCTTCCGTATCTTCGGAAGTGAGTTTTTAATTTAATTTTGTTCAAATCATAACTATATTATACACAAGGTATTTTTATTTTTGCTTTTGTGTTATAATTAGCAAACAAAAAAATAATCACGCGTTTGTTTAAAAAATATGCAAAGTTGAAAAATATAATAAAAATATATAAATTGCTAAATTTGTCCAAAAAAAAAAAAAAGTAATGCAGAACTTTTTTTTCAGTAGTCACACATTTAGGTCAAGTGTAATTGAAGTGCCATGCTCCATTGGTCTCTCTCACACACATACAGGCTTCCAGAGACCGTCCAGTCCCACTGCTAGACGCCAGTTCTCCCACAGAGGCAGCTACCATCTGGATGCTATAGATTTCCAGGGCGACTCTCGGCGCTGGGGCTTTGACATGGACATGGTGATCATCTACATCCACTCGGTCAACTGGATAATTGCCTTTTTCATATTCGGCTTCCTCTGCTACCTCTTCTTTTCTACTTTCTGACCTTAGAGAACACATTAGGGATGAGAGTAAAGTGTATTTTGAGGTGAAATAACACTGCGATCAAAACATCAGTGTAAACAACAATGTAGCAACTTGTTGTTGTTCATGAATAATTAAATAAAGAGGGAATTTTTGGAAATCCAATGTTCTCTGTTTCTGTCTCCACAGAATGTAACATGGGCTGCAGATCATGTCCTGTGCTGCTCTCTCTGGGTTGGATTTACAAGGGGAAAAATCACAAATTTTCATCATTTTGAATAAAATCACTGTCATTATAGAAAAGGAAAAAAAGGGTCCACATTAACACCAGGTTGTTTAAATTGCCAAATTCACCAATGTTGCCAATGTTACCAACTTTTTGAGCACGTAATGAAAACAGACTCCAGTACCATTCTATTTTTAACTTGTTGAACCAAGTGTAATGAATGATGTCACAAAAGGGTAACATTATCAGAAAATACAACAACAAATAAAATTAAAACAAAAAAAAAACCCATGATGACAGAAAAATACTTATTATAAATCAAGATGTAAAATTTACCTTTTCAGTTTATTAGATTAAAACATGGTGGTAAATATCAGGTATTTGATTTGATTTTTAATTTTTATGTAACAATTATCTTGATTAAAACTACAATCTGTCAAAGTCAAAGTCAAGGTCAAATGCTTTTACAACAACAAAAAGCCTAATGTTCACTGACTGGATTTTTTCTTATCACAATTGTTTGTGATTTTTTATGTGTTATGTCCTAAAACTGATTACATATTTACTCTTTTCGATTAAGTGGTTAAACATTGGATAACAATATGATGTTATACGTTAGTCAGTTACATGTGGTGCGACTTAATTAAATGCCTAATGAAAGCATCCTGGGCGTATTTTGCACATTAACCAATCAGCCTCCCCTTAAATGTTTGCACCTCCTGGTGTAAAGCATCGACGATGCAGCTGCAGCTGGAGGCGGGGGTCTGACTGGATGGGCCCTATTAGTATTCCGTCCATTGGGTGCGCAGTGTTTGCAGCCACAGAGCCACGTCAGGCCTGTAGCAGCTGCTCGTCTTCGACTGCCTCCCCAAGGTTAGAAAGTGAGGCAACGGAAACTTGGAGACGCATCCAGACCGTGACACTGTTATTAAGTTTATATCTGGGAGGGAGGGGGAAAAAAAGACCTTTTCTCCAAGAGGCTGTCGACTGTGAGCTTCTCGGTGAGGACGATACTGACAGCGGGTTTTTTTTTTTTTTTTCCTCCTTCGTCTCTGTGAGGAGGTTGCGCCGCGGAGGGAAAGATCGTTATCGTCCTTCTCATTTGTGCTTAATGGAAACGCGCAATCATAAAAAATGGTTGCATTTGGAGAACACCCGTGAATACCCGCCGTTTCCCGACATCGGTGCGTCACAGGAGACAACTCATCTAGCTGGAGTCCGGGTTGGGCGTGAAGTCTTCACAGTGCACCGCGTGCTGCTGGAGTGAAGGTGACTTGCGCCCCGCTGCAGTCAATGCAATGCGGAGAGGAGTCGCAGGCGCTAATCCGGCACTTTCTCTGCGCTCCGGAGCTCATCTAGGAAAATAACTGCTCTCTCTCTCCGTCACATACTCCAGGAGAGGAAGGCAGGGGGGGATCAACAGAGTAATAGCTGCATTTTGGGGGGTTATTGTCTTAAGGTGAAAACGAAGAAGAGGACGATTAGGTGCGGGGTGGCGAGGAAGGAGAAAGTGGTGGAGTTTGTGGTTGGGGGATAAGACAAAAGCGTTCTGTCCTAGGGCTGTTTATTTAGTGGATGTGTATGCATGAGTTCTGCATCGAATGGGCGCAAAAACCGCCCCAGATCCACCGGGAACATATTCCAAATCGGCAAGCCTCCTTACCGAGAGTCACAAAGGAGGGAGAGCACCGAAAGTACCCGCAAAGCCCAGCGCGCTGTGGCCGACTGCAGAATGGTAGGTTTGCGACACGTCAGTGCCCGCATTGTGCCTCTGATAAGTGTTTGAAAGCCGAGCTGTGTCAGTGAGCCTGAAATGGCTCGGCTGTCCCGTGTCTGTAGGATCCACAGGCGACAGATGTTAATAGCTGCAAAATAATAATAATAATTTTTAAAAAAGAGCCTGTAACGGGGCCGTGGATCCTAAAAATAGCTCTGTGAATTTACAATGCTTTGTCAGCTGTGAAGCCAAGCTGTCCATTCTTACATTCAGGTCGCATGTGTGATTTGAATCTCGAGGTTGCCGAGCTGCAGGTGATGTGAACTGGTTTTGAAAATTACAAGAATTACAAGATTTCCCACAGAGTTGATGGTGACCACGGCACAGATGCCCTGTGTTTTGACAGATGCTGGTGAGATTGATCGTTCAGCCTGCTTCAGCCTTTCATACATCAGTGAGCTTCGTGCAGACCCTGTGCTCGCACACCCCGGTGGAGCAGGATGCTCAAGAGTTGGACAAAATACATCAAATATTTGCACACTGGCCTGAAGACCATGGGCTGTGCAAACATCCAAATTTACCATAATGGCACCAAGTGCCAATAAAGATCACCGTGCACTCTGACAATGCAGACTGTTTCACTGTGTATCTACACTGGCAGGTTATTTGTGTTGGAAGGAAATAGGCACTTTGGATGCAGGGAAATCTGAGTCAGCACATGAGTAAGAACATGGGGGAGAGGAGTAGTAGTGAGGACAAGATAGGGTGAAAAGGTAATGGGGAAAAAAACAGGAGTAAAGAAGGGTACACCCACAGGACGAGACAAACAAGTACTGTCTGAAAAGTTCTATATAACAGGAACACACTCAGGTTGTTTTATGATCTAACTTCTTTGTGTGATTTAATTATCCTGCAGATCGTACAAGAATTCAATACCCTTGTGGCTCTGTACCGTGAGCTGGTCATCTCCATTGGCGAAATCACTGTCGACTGCCCTTCTCTACGGGCTGAAATGCTCAAGACCCGCACCAAGGGCTGCGAGATGGCGAGGGCAGCACATCACAGCCTCTCCTTGATATCAGGGTGAGTACACACTCGGGTGCTGTCCGTGGTGCTGAAAACGGTCCCTTGGCTAGGCCTGGTGTTGACTGAGTAAGGTATAGCCATGCAACTCTGTTGTAAATAAATATTAATTAAAATAAATAAATAATTGAGTCCCTTATTTGTCTCACAATAGGGAAATTTACAGCGTGAGTCTTTGCTACTTAAACGGGTCACCACAAGACTCTCGGCTTGTAAGGCAGATGTGCTAACGGCTACACTATGCAACCACTAAAGTCGCCATTGTTAGTATAGCGCGTGATTAATTTACATCAGCGTCCCTACTACAGGCACATGTGAACTCACGCCTGCTCCCCCGCACTTCAAAAGAAACCATGTAAATGTGTGCTCAATTAACATGAATCCAGTGAGTTTGCAGTACGGCAATTGTTACCAGGAAGCCACCACAAAAACATGCTGTAACTGAGCACTTCCCATTAGCTGGCCCCAATGCATTAATGCCCAACGCAGAATGGAAGTGAAAGATAATAATGTCAGTAATGTGGAGTCAACCGCTGCCAAATTGCTTCCTCCTGGTTCATCCATTGGGTGTAGAAAGGCTACTAACAGAGCTGAGTGATGCAGCAACAATCCTGCAGAATATTTGTAATTGCTGGTGTTTGGAGTTTCAGCAGCGTCTGTTTATACATGTCAACATTTGAAGTTTATCGCAGTGACAAATCACACAACGGAAAATGCTCACGATTTCTTTTTTCAATTTTATCTGCCAAATTATTTAATTTTTTTCTTACCAAAAGCTGTTTACATTTGCTGTGAAGCTGTTCTCTTCTGTGCCTTTTTTAGTTCTGTATCCTACCATGACTTAAGAATGAATGAACCTTCACTCTGTTATGTGCATGACAAACTCCTTCCATTAAATGTACAAAGGCTTTAACATGCACTCATGGCTAGCCAGTTAATGTGTCTGCTGAGTACTTCCTCTCATGCACTGTGAGTAGAAGCATTTCTGTTGGTTTTCAATAACAAAGCTCAAATTACACCCAACTACACTGCTCTGTTTTCCACTTGTTTTCCCTGGGCTTCGCACTTTATGTCATTCTCATGCTGCCTGCTGTACAGCTTGTATTTGTACATTTATATGTGGCCTACGACTTTGAAACAACACCCACCATTCATTATGAACCGGTGCTTAAATTTCCTGCAGCTGCTGTGTAGAAATAGGAACAATGCTGAGGCTTTACAGAGACATCAGCAGCTTCATCAGCGCCATTTTCATCAGTTCTTCAACTAAAAATTTTACTGTAAAAGAAAAAGATTTTTTTTTTTAATCACCTATTAGTCAGCAGGCTAGAATTACTCAGCACTGATCATTCCACTTTGATCAAATGCAGCCACACTGACTAAATGGTTCCAGTGATGCAGATTCTCCTCAAAGCTGATAAACAGGCTAGCACTGATGGCAGCTGTGCTTCAGCAGCACCACTGTATGGCGGAACTGTGACAAGGCGGGGACGGGCAAAGGAGATGCTCGCCGTCAGATAAGCACAGAGCAACAGCATGATTTGTGTGAAAAATATTTGGAACAGGTGCACGTTTCACACCTTTCACTGCTGTCACTTTCCCATTCGATATCACACCCACTGAATCACATCACCTGCTGGAGTTTCTCCTTGAGCACAAGATTTATGCGGTCGTGACGTCGCTCCGGTGTCTCATAAAGCCAGTCATCAGCCCGGGCTAAATAAAATGTGCTGGGATGGAGTTTTTATGTTTTATTTTCTCCTTGGGTGCCTCTTATTTATTTATTTACTTTTTATACAATGTGAATGTGAATGAGAGTTGGAATTTCAATCTCCAACTCTGGGTAACAATAAAGACAAGAGCAGCCAAAGACATTTTTACCACTCGGAAATAAATGAAAAGACGGATGACTTCTCATCAGTATTTATCAGTATTTATGTATATATATATATATACACATATATATACACACACATATATATATATACAGAGGACACATCTGATTTTTTTCTTTTATTTTTTGTTTATTGTCGTTATTATCATATTCAGACAGTTAAAAGTTCTAAGACAGATGTTGTCATTAAGTGTTAAATTTCAGTAACAATAAAAACAAATTAACAATTAAAACATCTCTGTGTCAGATGTCCTAAATTTAATTTGTCGAAATTTAATTTCTATGTATTTACTGGATTTTCCAGTTCATAAGCTTAGTTAATACTATTTTCTTCGATGTCATTAAATATGTAAGCAGAACATTAGTCTTCAGGCTACATCCTGTATATTGGCATGAGCGACATACAGTATATGTAGATTTAAGAATATCACAATGGATATTATCCAAACAGTGATAATCTGATCTTTTGCAGCTGAATTCAAAGAATCAAGCTGTTCTTCCCAGCTGTGACATTAATCACTGGTCTGTCTGTATTTTATTCTAGTATTAGTCAAAGCTTTGTGCCATTTCAGACCAGAGGATGGAGAGATCCACCCTGAGATCTGCAGGCTCTTCATCCAGCTGCAGTGCTGTCTGGAGATGTACATCACTGAGATGCTCAAATCGGTCTGTCTGCTGGGCTCCCTGCAGCTGCACAGAAAAGGTCAGCGTGTGAAGACACACTACTGCAGTTGTCAATTTGAAGTACTTTTGCTGAAGAATGTCTGGTTGTGTGGTGAACCCTTTATTAAATGTTGTCTGTTTCTTTTAGGTAAAGAATCTTGCGGTCCACCTGTGTTGGATAGTAAGATTGAAGAAAGCTCAGACATCCCAATCCTGGAGGACACCTCCTCCTCCCCCACTGACTGTCCTCAGCTCTGCTGGCTGGTGGCCACTGACATTGAAAATATAGAAAAGTGAGTAGTCAAAAAACACGTGGTAGTATAATAAAACTTGATATTACTACATAACTGTATGCTTTCGTAGGTGTCTAATGGTTTTAAATGGTGGGGTTTTTTTTCAGTTCTTTAGTCAAGAGAGTAGCGTTTCAGCAGCTGCCATCTGGTGTCCTTATGAGCACACAGCAGGCTCATAGGACAACACAGTCAGGGCAGTGTTTTTTTCTAGTTGGTAGGGAGAAATAAATTACTTTTTATCTTTAAAACAATCCACTTTGAAGATGGTTTGAAAAACAAATTCGGATGCACAAACGCAACCATAATATTTTCCAAACATACAGCAAGAGGTCCTGTTTTGTTTTTTTCAAACAATGACAAACTACATTGCCAAGAGTAATATAAAGAATATCTTAGAGTAATACAGTGTAATAAATGTCAAATATTTTATTCATGTATCAGAGATATGAGAGAAATGAAGAACCTTCTCAGTAAACTCAGGGAGACAATGCCTTTACCACTGAAGAACCAAGGTAAGACAACTGTTTTTATTTTTTTGTCTTTATCTCAAACTTCAGTTTCCAAACTATATTTGTTTTCTGTAGTTTAAAATCTTAGATTGTAAACGTGTGTGCAATGACAAAGAAATGGCACGCCTGTCCGTTTGTGCTTGTGCCCAGATGACAGCAGTTTGCTGAACCTGACTCCCTACCCACTGGTCCGACAGAGAAAGAGGCGGTTCTTCGGGCTGTGTTGTCTCGTAACCAGCTAAGGGCCCTGCCTTCGTTGGTAGGAGGCACCAACAAAGACACCATTACCCACTGTTCTCTACCACTTGTGTCTCCCGCCAATCTATTACTGCCATTTTCAGATAAATTGTCTCTTATCTCTTCTTCTTTTTTTTAAAGGTTGCCCATTTTATAATTTTATTTTGTAATACAAAGAAAAATTGTAACTACAGTGTAATGAAAACAAAGGTCATAAACATATATTTTAGGATATTTTGCAACAACCCCTCCAGCCCTCCACCTTGGTAAATTATTGCCAATACCTGCTTGTCTAGTGTCAAAGGGAATGAGAGATCTATGTTCAATCTCTACCATAAAACTTGAGAGAATGCTGTGATTATTCATATTCTAAAAAAGGGAAAATAAATGTTAACTTTGTCAGGAAATGATGTAACTCTTTATGACTAGATGCCTGAATGTTTAAAGGACGGTCACTGCAGAGATAAAGCAATGCCTTTGTCCGTCTGAAACGACAGGTGTGTTCAGAGTTTGTCGTGTCTCTTTTCTGTTTCTTGTTTGTTTTTTTCTTCTTCTTAATGTACTTAATTTAGTCTTCCATAAACCAGGAACCTGTAATCAAGCTTTACCTTTTCAGCTTCAAAAAACTAAATATATGACACTGTACTCATAAAAACGACTTCTTTGCACACAATATCTATAAATTGTGACATTAGACTTGTATATAAGCATAATCTTTATGAAATGTTCCCTGAATTATTTTCAAAGCCAGGTCGGGTTGGTTAAGAGTGTTTTTTGATGACATTAGCGGAGACCACCTCTGTCTGCCCGAGTTAACCGGCATATATGGGCACGGACACGGTGGTGGCTTCATATAAAAGGTGGTCAACGTTTAGGGTACGGTGAAGGTACAGTAGTCCAAACTGATAAATGTCATTTTACATTGTTAATAAACTTTTGTTATTGAAACGAAACTGATGGGAGTATTTGTCATTTCTAAATTGTCCACTAGATAGAAGCAAACATTTACATAATTTACAAAAAAGATACGTTGGGGACAAAGTAGTCAAGTGACAAACATAAAAATCTTGTAAAAAAGCTTCAGTATTTTCATTTCATGCTGCAAGAAGTTTATTCTTGAATTAAAAAAATCTATAGTTTTATAGTAAAAATGTTAATCAGTTGTTTAAAAGGTTTTAATCAAGACAATATTTTACCTTTAAACTCAGCTGCCTTTCCCTANNNATAGTTGTACGAGGAAATAATCATCTAAATGACACTGTCTAGATTTACTTACACCTGACGTCATATGATGAATTATTTAATTTCCATTTATTGTCATGTAACACAGAACTGAACTACAAAATAAATAAGGAATTAATAAAATGTACACTATGTTCACATTAAAATAAAGTGCATGACTTCAAAAAATAAAAAAAATAATTTAATTTTGAATTTCCAAAAATATCTTGACATGATTGAAGCAAAGTCTGAGAGCTATAGGATAAACAACATGCACTCTCTGCAACTTTTACCAAACACAGCCAAACACCAATATGCCAGATATCAACAAAACATCCAAATCATATTTGAGATATATATATATGTGTGTGTATGTGCATACTCTGTTGCACTTAATTGAACCAATTCAGATAAGAGGTTTCAACATATCTTAACAATTGAACAATTTCACTTCACATCTTCCCCTCTTATATTCAACTCCCCACATGTTGTATGGTCATATTGGGCCCTCAGACTACCGTATTTTCCCCACTATACGGCGCACTTAAAAACCTTTAATTTCCTCAAAAATCGACAGTGCGCCTTATATATTACTTGGTAAGTAATATAGTATATGGTTGCGCTTACTGAGCTCGAACCGATTTTTTAAAGCCAAACCACACAGCGCATCACACATGATGGCATAACCCAGTGCGCATTATGGTCCGGAAAATATGGTTAATTTTATTTGAGATTTGAGTGGGTATGTTTGTTCAAACAGCTTATGTTTTGTGAATAATTGGCACTTTTAATAAGTGCCACAGTTTGTACGCATATGAGACATGCTAGTTTAGTTTAGAGTCTGACCATTCTGGATTAAATGCCCTATTTTCGCTGTCCAGTTCGTCCGTGATTCTCCCGTAGTTTTCGCTACATGCAACGCTATGTTTTGTGTTGTTGTTGTTGAGAGAAAACATAGAAACAACAACACAAAACATAGCGTTGAAGTTTGAAAGTAGCTACTGTACATCCTTTAGAGTCTAAAGGATGTACAGTAGCTACTTTCAAACTGCAATAATATTATCAGTGAATATGTGCAATACTGGAACTGTTCATCTGACTTTGTAAGTAACTACAATAGTAATAACAGTATTTTTCATGGCCATATAAATCCAAATCATATGAAGAGAGAAACTAAGGAGAAAATAAAAAGGTGGCAGCAAATATTAATGGACAACACAAGCCTGTTGATGTGGCTTCATCACCCACGTCATCATTATCATCAGTGACTGTTGTAATTGCTAAATACTTCCATTCAGAGCCACTTTTTTATCCAAACTACTTTAAAAATAATTTAATGTTGTTTAATGTTGATGTTAGATGATGTTGAGTACATCATTGCAAATACTAATGCCTTAAGCTTCAGCTTCATCCCTTCTGTCAAAAAACAAACAAACATCCATCCATCCATTTTCATCCACTTATCCGTTACTTGGTTGCGGAGGCAGCAGTCACCACCCAAATCACATTGCACCGTACCAACCCCCCTGAACCTTCCTGCAGGTGGTGAGTCCACTGGAAGGTACCAACCGCCCTAACCGGGATTCAAACTTGCCCAGGAGGTGAACCCTGGGGTAAACAAACAAACAAACAAATAAAAAAAGCGGTTAACTGAGGACATCTACCAAAGTACAAGGTTTCCCTGCAACTCTTGCAACACAAAATCAGTTTCCTGCCAGAAAATTATCTGTTGGTCTTATCAAATATTGACAGTTGTTTGAAACAAACTCTATCCTGGTTTTAACAAGTCCAACCCTATGTCGAGGTCGTTCACTTTGCTACAAATGGTCTATTGTAATATGTCATTTAACAATAACTCAGAAATGTTTGGAACATTAAACATGAATCTTACACTGTGCATGTTAATTGACAGATGAGGGTGGGAGACCAAGCCTGGACACAAATCTAACCTTAATCACAGTTGTATCCGTGGTCAATTTAAAACGAGCAACTGCTAGACACTGGGAGGAAACTCACAACCTTCTTGATATAAGAAAGTGGTGCTTACCACATCATCCATGGTTAGCAAAATATTTGTGTGAAAAACGACCCAGTAGATGGCAGTACTGTAACCCTAAGGGTTCCAGTTCCTGCTAAAGACAAAGAGGAAGATGAAGGGAGAGGGTCAGGATCAGCTCACAGCAAAGATTTGTTTTTGTTGCTGTTGTTTTACCTTGATGGATTTCTTGATGGAAGTATCTCGATGTTTTCAGAACGTTTGCAAACATGTCTTTTATGTGTCCCACTTTCGGAAGTATACAGATCCTCAGACTCAGTGGCACCACCATCATGGACTCTCTTAACCTGGCTCAGAATATACTAGTCAAGATGATCATGACTTCTACTATAATGTACTATATTTTAGTACATCCTACAAATGAGGCAAAGGGAGGGACAAGATGTGTTCAGGCAAAGAAGAAACCTGCTCCATTTTTTCATTTTATTTTCATTTTTTTGATACACGTTTCACACATGCTTAAGAAAATGTTGTTAAAATAAAGCTGAAATCAAAGGACATTGATTTTAATGAATGTGTGAATATAAATGGCGACCCATGCATTAAAAAAAGGATGCAGTCATCAACTCCTTTCACCTCCTTCTCATCCCTAGGAGGTGCAAGGCAGGAGACTGAGGACTGTCACTTTTTCTCCTTTGCATCTTTTGAATCCGGCCTCACACTCACTCATGGTCTGACCAGCAGCAGTAATGTCATTCCCCACACGAACACACACGTTTGTTCCAGGTGTCGTGCAATTGGCCGAGTCCTTGCAGCGACACCTGTTGGTTTGAGCTGCAAGTAGGATGAGGAGGAGGTGATCGACCACTTTACTGGAGTACTACAGTATTGTTGGTTTTTAATATATTAAACTTGATTTTCCTACCATCGCAGGTCTCCCACATGTCACAGCTGTTGCAGTGTACATCGTTGCGTGGTGGCCACGTGCAGGTGCTATCTTCCGCTATTGTTATATTCCCCCCCAAGCACTGCAGTGCGTGCATTTTGCACACATTTATAACTCTGGATGGTATTCCATCTCGGTTAAGATTGACACATAGCTCCAAAGACGATCTGTTAACAGAAAATGTGACAGGCTTAAATAATATATATATATGTATATATATATATATATATATATATATATATAAGGAAGAAGAAATCACACAGATCACATGAAAAAGGTTTGTGTTTTAAAAAGAAAACAAAAGAATAGAATAAACGTACCCGCACTCAAAAGGCATTTTGCAAACACATTTTCCTTTAGAAACCTTCTGCCATGGCTCACACTGAACAGAAGAAGCAGTAGGTGGAGCCACTGTGAATGTGAAATACAATAAAAACACTTTTTCATGTATTGTTTATTTCTTAACAATAATAATAATAATAAATAAAAACAGGTTCTGGATTTTGTTATACGACATCAGACAAGATGTTATATTTACCCTCGACACATCTAAAGAATTTGGGGTCTGCTGAGAACCTGAGATACAGACCAGCTTCACATGTCACTTCTTTTTCTCCTTTAAGCTCATGGCCTGGAGAACAGGAGAAGGAAACTGTCTCCCCAAGATGATAAAACTCTTTCTTTGGATAGGCTCTGACCCCTTCAGCAAGGGCATCAATTTTGCACGATGATGCTAAAAAGGAAAGAAAGAATTTAACAGTACTTTAAATTTTGCATTATTGTCACTGTCTTCAGCTAAAGTGTCAGTCTCACTTGTGCACAGTCCTGGCTTGGCAGACCATGTGAGATCGGCTTTGCATTCTAAGGGTTCGCCAATAAGGTAGAGACCAGGAGTGCAAGTGTACTCAACCCGACTGCCAACCAGGTAAATATCCTTGGGGTCCTGCGAATCAGAATATTAGAAATCAACATGTTTATGTCCAACAAGTAAAACAAATAAAGAACTAATTGAGCGTTTGAATAAAGATATAATATTGTTTGATGCATTTTATTCAAAATTTCTCAAATGTACTTCAAGGACCTTCCATTAAAATGTGTGTTTTCTTAAGTGTCATCTTGGGTATCACCCAATAAAATCACATGCAGTTAATGAGCTAAGTGTGTTCTATTAAGTAGAGTAGATTCTTCACCAGTACATATCCGTTGACGAGAGCAGGTGGAGCTCCACAGTGTTGACTTGGTGGTAGAGTGAAGTCAAAGCACTGAGGCTCCATGGTTCTGCAAAGTATGCATTTAGAACAACGCGGTGTTAGAAGTTCACATGTTGACACATGATTTTAATCCTAAAATATGATGTAATGAATGATGCAATACCTCAAATACTGCAGCTCTTGGTCTTCACAGTCTGACGTCTCACTGGCTTCTCCAATACAGAACTGTCCTCCATTCTGAGGAGAGGGATTAGAGCAGGAGCGGCTACGAGAACGTTTGTTCCCCGAGCATGATGACCATCCTGACCAGCATGACCAGCTACCCTGGATCACACCTAAGATTAAGAAAATCATGAGCTTTGTGACATTGTTCAGAAGCCAGTGACTTGCTTCCTGTAGGAACCTTAGGGTTAAAAACGAACTACTCTACAACGTTAAAGCCTAAACTTACCTGGTTGACCCTCTGCTTCAGTTCCCTGCTCACAGCCCAGTCCTAACGTGCCAGGCTTACAGATGCATTTACATTCGTCTCTATCCATGATGGTCATGCCATTGTTGCTGCAGGGCCGGCAGTGACAGGAGTCACTTTCTGCCAGATACTGATCTATGGCTTTTTGAAGGTAGAGCTTCTTTACTCCGGCACACTGAACCTCCTTCACCAGCTCTGACAATGGGCGGATCTGACAAACAATAGACGGAAAGTGACGGAAGGTCAGGCCTGCCTCATAGAACACTGGACAGTTAGTGAGTCCTCAACTGAGGGAGTGAAGAATGAATAATATTGTCACCAAAGAGTAGATAGAAACACTTGACATGTTTGATAAGAAGCCAGCAAGAGGCAGAGTAATGACTCAATTTGACCAACTGAACGGCGCAAAAGTTTGATTTTTACTTTTGCACTATTTTCTTGTCAATATTTCATATTAATATTTCCATTATTTCGACTAGACACCAATAAAAACAGTTGCGAAAAACATAGTTATTTGTCTTTTTGTTCCAACAATATACATTCAATTATGTTTTTGTCAATTCAGGCGTGTAGATTAAAGCTCAAGTTATTGTGATTAATTGTAATTAATTACTATCATGATTAATCGTGATTAACCCACAGTGACCGTGTATTATTCAGATTATAGATCAATGGTTTTTCAGGTGCAAGAGACAACTTCCTGTCAGCACTATTTCCTCACCTTCTGTTTGGTGACCTGCGGGAATGATCTAAGAGAATCCGCCCAGTTTGAGTACATCTCCCAGTTCCTTTCGGCATTATTGATATTCATCGTTTTCAATGCTTCAATATGTTCCACTCCTCCTCCTTCCACATCAACTTTTTTAATTTGACTCCGTTGAAAATGTTCTGTTTTAAAAAGATTGGCAAAGAAAAACCAACAACAACAATTTTCAGCTCTTCAAGGATTCTCAAAAACATGAAGATTTACATCCATGATAAAAGAGAAACCTACCTCTGTTAACAGGTCGGGAATATTGATCCTTCTTGTATGACGTATGGTAGACAGGAAATATGAGAACCCAACGCTTAGTGCGTGTACGCTCTTGATGGTCCAGAGTTTCAGTTTCTACAAAATAAAAAGGAAAAACCAACGACACATTTATAACAGAAATCCTGACATCAGATATAGATAACTACAGATTTCTAAAATATGCTTTTTATACAAAGCATCCATTAAATCATTTGCTGCTGGTTTGGACTAAATCTCTTAATAGAATGTCTTTTTACTTTAATGTGTAACTAATGATTCCTCAATCCTTACTCGTTTCTTTCTTAGTTTCTTCATCGATACTGGCAACAACTTTAAAGGACCCTCCAAGGCTGCCCTCTGACACATAGTGCGTTCCAAACCTCTCAATAACCTTCCTGTAGGCTGCGTAGTCGTAGACAGAGGGCAGTCGGGTCAGTGCCTTCCAGAATTCCTCTGAAAGTGGAATGGAATTCGGGGAGTTGCTCTGGAAATGGGTTACGTCTATTGAATTCTTTAGAACCAAAAGATTGTGGTGCTGTAGGAATAAAAACATATGGTTAATTTTATACTTTCAATGATTCTTGAGTCTCTCCTCAAATCTGACCATTTCAACAAACCTTGATCTCTTCAATTGTCTGATGAAAGTCATAGTTGCGGTATCCCTTTGTGGTTCCCGTCACTGTTTCTCTACTGACGGTATCCTTGGCATAATGCCACGTACTGGTAAACATCTCATCACTGATGTCGTTCTGAACTGTTACCTACGGGCATAATTTAGAGGCAGCTTATGAAACACTGAAGCAAACAAGAGGCGATGAATTCCAACAGTTCTAAAGAAGTTTTCAAATCCTGTGAGGTTTGATTCAAAAAACCGAAATGTCCTGGGTTGAATGGTTGACAACCATTCACTTAAAACTAACAAGGAGGATCAGAGAATAACTGAACAAATGTGATCAATTTAGTGTTATCTAGTACTATGTACTGATAACTGTTGCTTTACCATTTTTGGGTTGCATCTCTCCATTTGAGAAACCACATTTATAATTTTAAGCTATGCATTTCTTTCAATGGCATATAAAATAGTTGCCTTGAACTCACCATTTATTCTTTGTCATTAATTCTTTATTCTTTGTCATTATTTTTTCCATCGAGACAACAGAGCAGCCTAGATTGAGGTTTTATTTTGTTATCAACTTTAACTTATCACCAGACTAGTTTAGCATCTAATCAGCAACCTGAAAACTGCAATAGTGGTCAAATAAATGTTAGACATGGGAAAGCTAGTAAAACTATAGTGAGTAAAAAAATAAAAAATCTCCAAATATAGAATTTTCACGTATCACAAAGTGCAATTAATTTCCCTTTGGGATCAATAAAGTATCTATTTAAATATATAGTATATAAGCAGTATTCAAATAGTAGGATCTCTGAACTAGTCTAGCTAGTAGCCACATGTTGGTTTGGCTGCAGTTGTAGGAATTCTGAAGGCACTAACCATCGTTTGGTACTTGATAATGCTGAGGGGCAGTCGAAACACAGTGTTGTGGACACCACTATTCAGAAGATGGCATTGGCCCCCAAAGCTCTTGGTATTGATCACAATGCCCCTCTGTTTCCCTGATACGGCATCATACCTACAGACGCAATTATATATATTTATTTTTTCAGTGGTGTGAGGTGCCTGACATTTGTTCTTAATGTCTAAATGTGAGCCCTACCCCAGTCCCAAATGTTCGATGTTGGGCGGGGGTTGTGAAACAGCGCAGGTTATGAATTTGTCGTCACACTGACGTTCATCAAGACCATCTTCTTCACAGTCCTGGTCTCCGTTACACACCTGAGACATACTTATGCATTTTCCTTAATAGTGAAAATATTAGAAATCACACTGGTCAGTGATTGATTAAAGTGTTTCTAAATAATTATAGAAGAAGTGGAAACGTTTTTTAACCCGATAGACATCGAAACCGGTTTCCACAGCCATCCTCTAGAGGGCAGCCTTGTTTGGTTTCGCAGGCCCTGGTCTCCGTTCGTCCTCCATTACAAGGATTTCCTCCAAACTGTGCGTAAACTGCCATGGGTCTGCTTCTTGTCTGGAATGTACGAGGATAATAATTATGTTTGTCATTATTATCAGCTTAACATTTAACTTATTTACTGTTAACAAATTAACACATTTAATAAAGGACATGTGATAAACTGACAATTAACCCCTTCTAACCTGTAACTTAGTGCAGCCATCACACTGTGACCAGTCACCGTATGGTCCCCACTGGCAATTTATTCTCTGGACACACAGCCTAGAAAAGAAATAAACAGTAAATTAGTATATTATAGTAAAAAAAACTATAATTATTATAAAAACTCAATTTCCATCTTTAAAGTTGATATACTTTCTAAAGACTTGGGCATCGATTTCCTGATTTGTTAATGTTAACAACAAACAACATAGCTTATTGATAAAAAGCGTATTGATAAAAATCTTATTGATAAAAATCTCATTAGTAAAAAAACATTAAAATAAAAATATTAGATTTCCTCATAGCTTGTTATTGAATGCTACATGGGAAATAAAAACAAGCTCCGATTTGAGTTTTTATTGCTTTAGTAGAACGTGTAACAACTTTTGTAGAATAGGTTTTCAATTATTGGAGATACAGTATATTTAAAAAAAATAAAAATAAATAAAAACTACCCTTGGTGACTGAACAGCAGCAAACATGGAAATACTGCTAGAAACCACAGCGTCATGCTCTGAATAGGAGAAAGAGAGGTGAGGAGGAAGAGGAGATGAAAAGAAACAGGGAATAAAGAGTAGAGGAGGGAGGAGACGAGCGAATGCCAAAATACATACAAATGCATCAGAAATTACACATCAACACAAATATAAAATGTGTTGCTGAGAGTAAATTTAAAGGGTACTTACTCCTCTAGTTCTAAAGATGCAGACTCAGGTCAAAATTCATGTTCCAGTTACTAAGTTAGAAAAAAGAGTGAGTTATCGGATTTCAGTGTGTGGGTGTGTGTGTAGATGTCTGTCTTGTGCAAGTCTGTTACATAAGAGAACAGACAATATTTGCATGCCCCACAAAGCTGTGCATAATTGCACAACTGAATTGAAGTGAAATTCTCCCCAAACTTTTGTACTGTGCTGATCTGTCAAAAAAAGTGACGGAATCGAAAGATTAACTCCTCTGCTGCACATGTTCAACTGCTGCAAATAAAAACAAAAAACAAAAAACAACATTCTTTTCTGGTTTAAATTCGATGAAAGAAAAAAAAGTGATGTCATAAAATTCTTTCGAGGCTAAATTAAATGCAGGACCTTGGTGGATTGGTTAGTGTGGCCTAGAGTAGAGTATGGGTTTGTTTGGCCCTCCACAGCAATCGTGTGTTGTTGAAGTGAAACTAGGAAAATCTCAAATGCAGAAAATCCAGTAAACTTATGATAAAACAAGGTAAAAATACATTTAAATAAATAAATATTAATATACTTGTTATAAAACGACCAGACTTGATGACAGCTGGGGTTGCTGCAGCGCCCCCTTGCGATCCTGCAAAGGTTTAAGAGGCTAAATGAATGCTCTCAGCAGGTGGCGCTTTGGCCCAGAAGCAATGTCTCTGTCATTGGTGTGGAACCCCAGACTTCACCTCCTGGGTAAGATCGAATCCCGGTTAGGGCGGTTGGTACCTTCTAGTGGACTCACCACCCACAGGAAGGTTAACGAGGGGCTGGTACGGTGCAGTGTGATTTGGGAGAGGGGGCAAGAAAAGAAAAGAAACAAAATAATACAATTGCAATCGTTCTCCTAAATCCCTAAAAAGATTGAAGACCATCAGAGTTGTAATTTATAAGATTAACACTGGAGGGAGACAGAGGTTTAAGAACCATTTTCTACTGGAAAGTGAAGGATGATTCAAAATGCATTTTCATGCAGATAAATGTATTTACACATTAACAAAGAATACATATGGGGCAGTACAACTAATTTTAATTTATACACAATCACGTGTTTGACTTGATGACATTGGATTTATATTATCCTTAGCATCCTTACCAGCCAGACTCGAAATGTTTCTCTGTTATTGTGATGTCAATTTGTAACGGATTTCAATCAGACAGTAGGCTGTAATGTTCAAATCCACCAGAAAGTGGAAACACATTAGGGAATACTGTACCTCAGAGCTGCAGCTTACTGATGAGATTTTGTTTTCAGCAGTCATAGGTGACCGTACAGCTGTAACAGTCTTTGTGGAGAGACACCTTATTTCACTACCACGTGGTTTGGGGAAAATCAAAAGAAATATATACGTGGTGATGCATATTATTCCAATATAATGACCATATATCGGATTTCCTGTTGATATGATCACCTAAAGCCAAATGACTCAGCCACTGTACAACAACAAACCGAGTTCTCAGCACCTCGGGGAACAAAAACAGTTGGCTCAGACAATAGGTCACCAGACCGTGTTCTCCATTAGTACTGCTTCTCTGGACCTCGTGATGTTCAGACGGACTTCACTGACCACCATCTGCCCTGGAAGTTTGGTCTGCCAAGGAGACACAGTAACTGAGGCTCAGACAGACCCTGACTGCATCAATACATGTGCAGTTGATCGGATGGATCTGCAATTTTAACACACTTCATTGTGGATTTTTGGATATTGTCTGTATATCGTCTGTAGTAAAGACTTACTGGTTACAGCAGTTTGTCCTGTAATTAGTGCACAGTTTTTTCTATACTGCATTTAAAATAAACTTAAATTCCCACATCAATAACAACACAAATCACTGCCATATATGCCCTTTAATGGAAGTTTGCACAGTACACTTTAATTAATTTCTCAACTCAACTCAAACTATATTTTACTAAATAAGTATGAAAAACAATGTTGCAGAGTTCTGTTAGGTAACTGGACGTGATATTTTCTTAAAGAAGACGTTTCACCTCTAATCCAAGAGGCTTCTTCAGTTCTAACTGGTGGTGGGGAGTACAGCAGATATATACTCTGGGGGTGACAAAGAATAAAGCTACTTCAGCTCCTCCCTGTTAGGTGGGGCCTTGGGGTCAACTGTGAAAGTGTAAACAGTCGTTCAGAGTCTGATGGGTCTTTGTGGTCATCAGAATGGTTTTGGTCCCCTGCCTCTTTGGTATGTGAAACTGAGGAGAATCTTTTGGGTATTGTTCCTAAAAGTGCGTTGTATGTGTGTGATAGGTTGTGTCTGAGTCCACCTCCTCCTGTTGAGTGATGGTTTTTCCAGGTTGACAAAAATGGCTTCTTTTACCCCTCTCTCAAACCATCTGCCTTCTATGGCTTGAAGTGTATGGGGATCTGGTGCTGGTTAAAGATCCTCCTAAGCTTTTCCAAAAAACTGGTAAAACGGGTCAATGGGAAACAACCCTAACCCTAACCCTAACCCTAATTAAAGGTTCCAGCGATACCTGTATTAACTTATTTGCACATGTTTGTATTTTTTAAAGTATTAAACCAATGTAAATAACAGTCCAAATTCTTTCTTTTGTTTAGTTTATGAGAATGTCTTATAAATTAATGTAACAAAATTGTTACATTAATTTATATGTGTTGTTTTTAAGGTAAAACTTATTTTTCCCAGTGAGAATAATGTCTTATATTATACTGGGTGATATTGAGATGAGAACAGCAGGACTGATATCCTGGACTGATAATGTATTTGTTTCTTTTATTATCATACAGTAAGTGAAGGCACTTAGAGGAAGTCAGACATATACTGTTGTTAGCTGGAAAGTAGAGTTGAAATTAGACAACAATAAGCCATTACCTTAAGATTTCTCCCCGTCATTTCAGTGTCAAATATACAACAACAATAATTGTGATTTTAATGCTTTGTCATCAATTCTGTCTGTTTTATTTTAATAAACCTTGGAAACCTTATCTCTACGTTGCACACATTTGGTTGTGTGCAGTGGTGTGCTGTGTGTCACAATGACAAGTAGTTCACTTTCCTTTCCTTTCCTACTATTTTTCCTTGTGGAACAGGTAGAATATATTATATTAGTATATATATATATATATATATATATATTGTGTACTTGTCAGTACCTCTGAGCACTGCATTTAAACAAACCCACAGTATAAAGTGCACCTGTGAGGGATGGTTGTATTTGAATGATCAAATTCCACTCACACTACTGTATGTCACATACCCTGACGCACAGTTCTTGAACACACTCCTCCTCACTCTCCAACACTGTGTGTGAAACTGTACATTTCACCGCTGGTTTGCTTTTAAATGTCTGAATGCAATCATCCATCTGCACCTCCTACACCTGCACCTCCTCCTCATGTTTGTGTTTGCACCATGGAGTGTGTGTGCGTGACAGACGACAGACACGTCACACTCACACCCGTATAAAAACAATAGCAGCACATTAGCATGTCTTTAGAAATGGCAGTTATGACTCTAATACCAACAAAGAAAGTTTGAATTCCCTTTTCTCCCTGAATTTCAATAAACTCCTGTCCGTTTGTCAGACACTGAACAAAGGTACAATCTACAAGGTACAGGAACGAAAAAAGAGACTGAAGACTGGAATGTTTATGTAGTGTTTATTTGTTGTTTTTTAATTGGAATCTTTAATCATACTGTTTGTTTTCAGTGTAACTATAATTAACATGTGTTTGGAATTGTAAAACTGCACTAGTGAGAACTTGAGCTTTAAGTTCATCGACTGACACTCATAGGACGCATAGACACAGACACATACACAGACTCAGTCTCTCATCATCACAGGTACAGGGTTATGTGAGGAACCTACTGTGTGAAAATTACTGTTTTCTCCATATGAGCAGCACCTGGCTGCACTGTGGCAGGTCTCAGCAAGTCAGTCAGGATGCTGCTGCTCACCTCCTCCATCTGTATCACCGTGGTAACAGGATGCCTTTTTTCACAGACTGTACATGTATGACCCCACCCCCCCAAAAAAAACCAAAACTACAGTAGAAGCTACAAATTATTATATATATATATTATAAATAATAGAATTTGTGAAATACAACTTTGGAAAAATGAATAATTGGAAACTAAAATACTGTAGTTTTTAACCTTTAACTATTTGATATATTTAGAACTTGAAAGAAAAAAAAGGACATTGCCCCCTGCTGATCTTCATTTTAGCAGAGGGCCACTAAAAAAACTGTATTTTACTGCTATTTTAATTAGTTTTGTGTAAAATATTACGTTTGATGTAAAGGTTTGTATTAAACACAGAGTTAAGAAAAAAATTTGATTTTATTAATCTGATGAATTTAGGCTGGAGTACATAATTGGATTACAAATATTAGCATTTATGATGATTATTTATTTATGGTGTATGATTTTTCAAACTTCTGTGGAAATTAGATTTGTAAATTAAAGTTATAAACACACAAGATTAATGTATACAGTGCTACTACACGCTAATTTAAATAATAATATACTGTATGTTAAAAAAAGTATCCGTCACATGGCTACTTTGTCAGCATAGAGCTTTATTAGATCGTCCATTTTCAACTTATAACAGTCACTTTTATTGAAACAATAATTTATTTATTTTTTCCAGCTTTACAACATCAAGGGGACTCGTTACACCTGAACATAAAGGCAACAACAACAGCTTAGAGCAAGAAAGACACGTGTCCTCGCAACACAACTTCAAGACTTTATTTTCCAGTCTGTCCAATTGTGTGGATTCAAACTTGGTTTTTATTCAGTAGATGAAGGACATTTAAAATGTAGATATATTTGAAGGTGGTTTCCTTAAAGGGCAAAACATGTTCGAGTGGGATATTTGAAGAATAAGAGATTATAAAGAACAGAAAACTTAAACAGGTCTTACAAATCTCATGTGAAGGCTGCAAGGCCTGTCCAGGCATTAGAGTGAAATTCCCTGGGAATATGACAAAAGTTGTGTTATGAACGTTGAGTCACAGGAAATTATGTCATTAACACTTCTCTGGAGGAAATGTATGAAAAGATCTACTACAATATAAAACATGTTAACAAGGATCCACATTATGGTCAAATATTTTCTCACCGACATGACTTTCCGGCTGATTCTTAGTAACGGCATCTTGTGAAAGCAGAAATTGTAATGGCACAGGTAATGACAAGACACACACACACACAATACATTCACAAATCCAAACAGCCCACGTTTCAATTTTTGGCTTTTACATTACCACATTAGACAACACTGTCCTCGCACAATACATTCTCTGCAGAAAACTCCACACTCATCATGAGGTGTGTGTCCATGATTGACTCATGTATAATGTGTTAAATCTCACAACGACAAATTAAAAAAAAAAAAAAAAAACATTTTCTCTCTCATTTTCACTTCCACTATTCTGTTGCATCTTGAGGAGGAGGAGGGTTTACAAAAACAAAATGCATTTAATATATGAAAAAGTAGTGCACTAAAGAGAAACAGGAACATACAAATCTACCAGAGTAGAGACGGAAAAGTCAACACTGGACTTTCAATAGACACATACTGTTACATTTTCAACAGTACCTAGTTACCAGAGTCACATCTAGATCTACAGGCTCTGAATTTCTATATGTTTTAATATTTTGGACAGAAAGAATGAAAGAGCTGAGCAACTGTTGATGACTTGAGTACACTGTACTACGGCTGTAAGTACAGACAAGCCACTGGGGCAAACATTAGAAGCGAAGCATTCAGATACAGCAGACACAGTCTTGTACCAACCTACACCGCGTTTCTGTTCTGTTGTTAAAACCCATCACGAACTCTGGTGCATTTGTCACATTTTTACTCCAATACTGTGATGTGTGACACTTCATCATGTCTGGGATTTTTATTCATTGTTGCTGCTTTTGAGCAATTCTTCAATGTCCAGTTTTGATATTAAAAAACCAACAAGGATACTGTTCGGGGGTTGAAGTTAGAGGGAGATATAAATGAATGAATTATGAAGTCAAGGTCTTCAACACAGTTTAGCATGTTTTTTTTTTTATTTTTTTTTACAATGACTCCCTTCCCCTAATGTTTGGGTACTACAGGTGTTACAGTATCATACCCTAAACCTTGCCTGATGTCAGGCAGGGGTCCTACCACTGCACCACTCATGCCCAATCAGATGGCTGGATAATAGTTTGCTCGTGTGTTATTACAAATCAGTCGACTGCCATTAAATGTGCTTCATTATTTTGGAACGGCTAATGCTTTTATTTGCTAACATTTTTTGTTACTAATAATTCATTTTTTATGTATCCTTTTAAATAAATGAGCATTTGCGGTAATGTGATGAGAGAAATTATCTCGACTGACAGATTTTTCCAAAAAGACAAACAACTTACAGCGACCTACAAATGACTGTCACAAGAATATCAAGAACGCTGTACCAAACGTTGTAGCAGAAAGTTGATATGATCAGAAAAATCTACGTTTGACGAAGCGGTAAATCTGAGAGCAGTGCATTAGATCAGCGGGAAAAGCATTTTTTTTTTTTTACAGCACAGGAAATAAAAACTGATCCCTGTCAAATTAAAACCAAGCAGAATCTCGTTCTCTTATCACTCCAACCCAAACACCAGAGCTCCTGTTTTCATCTGACCTCTCAATAGCCCTAAAGAAAGTGAAAGGAGCGGAAAAGGCCCCACCCTTCTGAAACAAATGCCAACAAAAAAGAGAGAAAACCGATCCAGCCACTGGCAACAGGGATGGTGGCCATGCTCTCCGCCGCCCCCTGTAGGCCCTCAGGTGGCATCATCGTCATCTTCTTCATCCATGTGATAGTTGAGCGTGATGACGGCACTGATGAATTCTCCCAGCTCCACAAAGTCAGCTGTGATGATGTTGATGCCGTTCTCTCCGGGTCGCTGTGATCTGATCCAATGCATCATGCCTGGTAACGCCCTGGGAGGGGAACAATGGAAACACACACACACACATGCATGCAGCTGTGTTAAGAAGAATTAGAGGGCAGAAAAAGTCATTAAATACATCCAAAGGAACTGAAAAGAGAGGAGGACAGTTCATGGCTGGTCGTCTTAACCCAGAGGAAAGGCAGAGTTTTTTTTATAAAATGCATCTGGAACACAGCGTGGTATGTCTGCAAACCAGACCCCAGCTGTGAGAATAGCAGTCTGAATGACACGTACTGGACATGTTCATGAGTGGAGAACCAGGAGGAGGCTGTTCCTCCGTCAGATGTCTCATACGTCTTTCTGCATGACAGAATTCTTGGATGTGTTTTCTTGTTCATGTTGCTTTCGTGTTCTGTAAAGCTCAGCTACACCAGCAGCCTATGTGGCAAAATCAATTTGGAGGATGCCTACATCAAAGTAACCACACGCCTGGTGTGAACGGCTGATAGTGGAGTTATAAAATGAATAATTCATGTTGATTGATGGTTTTGCCGCTCTTGACAAACCGGTGACATTAAGGAAAGGAACACAGACACGGCTCAGGGAGAACTAGAAAAAGATATCTTCAGTACGGGTGAAAAGAAAGAGGAGGTGGATGAGAAGCATCGCCTCAGGATGGTGGCAGCTGTTCCAAAAAAAAAAACCATCAAACTTAAATAAGGTCAATGTCAAGTGCCTAAGGACACCTACAGAAACTGACATGTTTTCTGGATTTAGAAAAAAATACCAATATGAGTCACAAAACTGTTGATGTGTGCGTGGCCTGTGGGCCAGAAAGTGATGCTGTAATTCTTGTGGTGTTGATGCACACACTGAATTATCCAGCTGGTAATACATTAGACCAGTGAATCTGTACAACCTCTAAAATATTTGTCTCTCCAAGTACCACCAGAAGGACTAAAACTAAACTAGCGTTCAATACATTATGTTGAACCATGAACATGTGAAGAAGTGAATTATTTCTTACTGGTTCTAAATCTGTGGTACGTGTATCACTCTGAAGCAGTGAAGACATGGGTTGCCAGTAGAGAAGTTTCACCTCTCATTCATAAGTTCTGTTCACTGGATGACTGAGGCCTTCGCAGATGTGGGTAACACTATTACATAGGTGGTACTTGGGCAACCTCTAAGGCATACCACTAGAGGGTGCACAAATGGAATCAGAAGAGAATTTTACAATGGCAGGCCATCGACACACAGAATGAACAACAATAAATAACAACCATATATGACAATTAATTTTTGAGCCCTTTTTTTTTCATGTACATACACTAATTTGCCACCGCCTGATGCCAAAAAAATCTGACTCCCTGCATACCACTAGGGGGAACCCAAATACCATGAGTGTTACACATACCATAAATTGAAAACCACTCTTTTAGATCACACAAACACACCTCTCCGTTATGGTCTCCCTCAGTCCACTGGCCACACCTTTCATGACAGTGCTGGCTTTGGGAGTCAGAACCACTTGAGACACAAAGAATGTTCCCTTTCTCCTACAAGAGCCAAAAAAAAAAGAACATTATTCTCTTTTTGTATTTTTTGTTTTTGTATAACCAAACATCTGTAGAGCACCTTACGACACTGCACAGGCGCAGTAAATAACCTTCACTTGTACAATGCAAAACAAAAACAGAATGAAACAAAAACACACGCAATTGCACATGCAAATGGATGTCAAAATTGATTTTTTTCCTGTGGTGGTTACCGCCACTTGAGACATGATGAGATTGTTTTGTTGGATGTCACAGAGTCACACATCTGTGATGCAAAATAAACCTTGTACATTTCTATTTAATTTAATTTAATTCTCTAGTGTAAGAAGAGTAAATGTTTAAGCACCAACACATTTTCATACACTCAGAATTTAAAGTGTCACCTGTGGAAACAGGTGACGTGACTAACCTGCGGTCAGTGACAGAAGCTTGGAGAAACTGAATCAGCTTCTCTGTGTCAGTGGTGTTGGCCCAGGGAGCAGGCATCATCTGACCAGGCCAAAGGAAGGGCACCTCCAGAGCCATGGGGTGGTGATAAAAGACCAACACCTGATACTCCTTCTCCCACAGATACTGCAGAGTCACCTGGTGATGGGCGGAGAAGTGCACATGGTGCAGAGTGACGAAGGAAAAAAAATGTGGTTTGTGTTCGGTAAAATATATATGAAAATGAATGGGAGCAAATAGGAATTAATGGCTAACTTTGCCTGTGACAGTGGATGACCAGGATATTTTAGCATCGCAGATGTTATTTCTAAGGAGAAGCAGTACAATGATAGTGCATTTTAAGACATTTATTTATTTTATTCTTTATATTTTATTAAAATGTATATCTATATTAAAATATGTAAACACACCTACATATTTAGATATATAAACATGTATGCATATATGATGATTATTTCCATTATTATTGTTGTTATTTCTCTACATATACCTATGATCATATGTATCTGTGATGGAAGTATCTTGAACCAGCTGTAGTAATGACGACAAATCAATAAACCAAATGGTGCATGTAGAGACAAATGAACAATCACCCACAAAGCACAGTTAATCAATCACTGCTCCAGGAGAGCAGCAGATTAACAGTGTTGTGGGTACTAGTGAGCTAAAGGGTTTGCAAACAAATTCATAACCACCCTCCAGAAAAACCGTTTGGTTCTTTAAGTACCTGCTGTGAAAACGCACGCGTTATCTAGAATTACTATTGTCATGCCAAGAAATGTTTGCATTTCTCAGACCAGGCCATTTTATAATTGAATTAATAATTACATTAAAAAATAGATGTCGGCAACACACACTATTAAAGTTTAAATAAAGACAGCCGATCTACCATATTTATTCAGAATAAAGCTGCTGCTTGTATTAAGAATTTACATCCATCCCATCCCACATCTTTCATTTGTCATTATGCCTGTAAGGTAAAAGTAATTACTAACCTTTTTCAGGTGTTTTTAGTTACATGTACCCAATAGAAAGTGTACTGATTACCTGGTAATGTGGCTTGTGCGACTGAAGTAAAGACCATTCAGCTGTCTGGACTAAATTTAGACACAGACCAGACATTCAGCCAGCTCTGCAAAAAGCTGGTTCATTATTTTCCACAATTCTTCTCTTCACATTTCGCTTCTTTTCCCTGTCCTCTTTCTACTCTTTATTCTCACTCAGCAGCAGCACCTGATACCAAAAAAACCACCGTCTTAATGGGCTGATGATGGCGAAGGTGGAACTTGAAAGCCAATATCCTCTATTTAATTATTCACAAAAAATCTTTTTGAAAGAGAAATTAATAAAAGAGACAGACACTGAGATAAGGAGATGTTCCAAAAAACATGCTTAATGTTACCTTGTACATTATGCCACTCATGTTCACATGGGTTTTTAAAAACTTATATTGGTAACCTCTTACTTATATGTTATTCAGCATTCATTGTTTTTTGTTTCTTATCATTCACGTTCGCCGCCATCCAAGCCTATCAGAAAATTTCAGTCTCTGTCTAAACTTTGTGACAGAAAATATGTCTTTTCCCCCTCATATGTAATCCTTAAATAGCTCCTAGAGGAGATTTACATGCACTGACAGCTCCTTTATTTTCAACGTTTTAGATCTTCTTAATTTAGATAAAGTATTAATAATGAGGAGTACATGCTCGAGCTATAGCCATCGACTAAATTAACAGAGCTCTTATTCAGCACTCTCTTATCGCACACTTTATAGACTCTGCTTTTAATTGTTGCAGGCTTGTACATGCAAAGAAAATGTATTATATACCCCAGAGAGTATATGTAATGAAATATAATGACCTTCTTATTTCAACTAACAACTTACTATTTGTGAAACATGGGCCTGTTTAGTTGAACACAATGCTAATATACACACAGGAATTGAAGAAAGACACAAATGAAGGTTTTATAGCTATCTCTTGCCACCTAGAGGAAGAGGATTTAATTGTTCTGTCTGCCACTGATGCATTTATAAGCTGAGACCCACTGTAAGCTGTAAATCAATAATGGTTTCCCGACCAATTAAGTGAAACTGGATCATTACACAGGGTACACGAGACAACTTCTCAAGGCCCACTAATGTGCTGTGGCAAAATGGTTTGGAATCACTGTATTAAAATAAAAATGTATAAGTTTGTCAGTACCTCCTGAGCGAAGACGACCGGGCAGAGCTTCTCCCCAAACACGTCTTTCAACATGGCCACCAATTTTTCATGGTGCATGTTTTGCACACCGTAGAAGTGGTTGAAGTCCAGGAACACCACCTCTCTGGCATGAGACGACAGGAAAGTACTGATCTGCTCAAGGCCTTCTCTTACCTGAAAGTATAAGCATAGAGTATTTTTAGTTACTATTCATTTCTTTAAGGACATTATGACACAGAAACACTCACACAGCTGTTAGCTACTCAAAACCTTTGAAGGGCCGCGTATAATTAAGCTCTCAGACTTCTCTCATGCATAAATATACAGTCTCAAACACAAGTGTACCAACACCACTTCATCACTTCATCACTGCATCAACAAGCATCGCTAAATATTCATGACATCACTGACTGTGGCACTGAAGAGCCCGTGGGCGAAGAACAGCTCATTTTCGGGGTCGCGGGGCTTGGTGGAGATGCGCAGGTCAAAGAAGCGGATCCCGGCCTCCAGTTGGCTGTTGAAGTTCATGGTCTGTGTAGCTAACCACTTCCTCATTAGCTTCTTAGCCACTGTGCCGAAAACAGAAACAAAGTTCTGCACGGTCTCCGGCTGCTCTGGGCCAACCGGAGACGCCTCGTCGATGTAGAAGCTGAAGGAATCATGGGAACCTGGAAGACACAAATGTGAAAGTGCATGAAGGTGAAGATGGCTGATTGGTTCCTTTTTTGCAGCAATATAAGGATGTATAAGCGAATGAAACCTGGTGTGAGGCGGCAACATGTGAACACAGTGTTAGTGGTTTGAACTTGTGAAGTTCGTAATCCTACAAATACAAGTAGTTTTTTTATTTAATTACTTTTAGGCTTTTTTTATATAACCTGCAGCAGGTATACTTAGTTACAGTTACAAATTCATTCAGGTCCAAATGGACCTAGCTCTTAGGTCGGCGGACCCTGAGCAGTCCACCCGACAGTGGCATTTTCTTCTGTTTACATTCTCTCTGTGAAAAGACTGACATAATCTGCAATATTATCTCTCCAGGACAACTGTTAAAGTCTAAACATACTTTTTGTTTGGTGAATTCCATGTCGAGTGACAGGATAATGTGCTAAACAACTGCGGCGGCCAGTTTTTTAGAAGACATTAATAACATCTCCTGCGGGGGGAGGGAGAGGAGTTTTCATGAATACTTCCTGCTAATTAATTAACAGACTCCACTCAATGTTATATTTGTGCGCTTCAGGGTTAGAGGAAAACAGCGTTATCTCAACAGTTACCAGGTCCTTCAGACCGAGATCATTTTTAGATAACAAATTCTTGTCGTATTTGAATATGAAGTTATTTTGTTTGGTTTATTCCGTTTCTGATTAAACTCGAGAAAATTTCACATTTGTCCTCATCAAAAGTAAAATATTTTGACAGGTCAAACACAGAGGCATCTTTGCAAATCTTGACAAGTCATTAAAAGTAAAGACGGTAAAAGGAAAAACTGAAACAGACAGTGCTGAATGAAAGTACTTAACCCTGTCTTGACAAGTGAATAACACTTGTAACAAGTGAAATACATTTGTCTCAGGGCTACTGGATAAAATATTGATTTATTTGTAATACAAGCCGTTTTGAATAATTGTACTCAAGGAATTCTGTTGACATTTCTATTCAGATGGTGGAAGGTGGACTCAGTGAGTCAGAGCTTGAAATTGAATGTGCGTGCGCATGTGAGTGTGTGAGTCAAATTAGGCTGACACTAATTGTAGTATCCAGCCCCCTTCATTACTGCAATCAATTCCTCACACTCTTTTTGTTTCTCCATTATCCTCCCTCAAACACATACAACTTTCTAAAACCAGCCCACGAAGCTGTGTTCGACCTTCAGCTGTTCCACTCCAGGAGCCGCTTCTTTACATCTGCCCTTAAACAATCACCACGAGCAGAGTGGATGATTGGATCCACAGGCAAGGAAACAAAGAGCTTCACCACAGGCTGAGATGTGTCAGCCACTGGATCACAGTGTGACAGAGGACGACCTCAGCGGCTCCAACAGCTGCTCCCGCTGTTACTCCTCAATATAGAAACAAAAAAAACCTCACAAAATTCTTTTATTTTACTTTTACTTTTTCTGTCTATTTTATCAACATATTTAGCTGATTTAAAAACAATGCAAATTTTAAGCAGGGTTTCCCATTTCCGAGGAAGCCCAGCCAACTTAGCTTGACCTCTTCACAGACAACAGGGTGCAGTAGCATGTTTTCAACGCTCATTCACCACATATCATTTAGAGGGGCGCTGTTTTACACATCATGAAACACTCTCCTGAATAAATAAAGAGACGACAGTGTTTTTATTAAATTGCGGTTATATTTCCTTCCCTTGGCCTCAAAAAAACATCACTGACCATAAAAAATAAAATAAAAGGAACGATAATGAACAGCATTTCTCTAATTTTTAATCTCTGTCAGTCCTCCCGCAGCTGTACATGGTGCAAAAAGTGTGGGAACCGTTGCATTAGAAAAAGTTTAATTTAAACATTGTTCATAAAATACTAACAGTACACAATATTGAGGCTTTCCGCAATTGGTATACACACCAGTATACAGTACTCTGTGTACCTTATGGTCTATTTATTCCTGCAATGAATTTGAGAAATAAGTGCACATCATATAAATGAAATTGCCATTCCCTAAAGACTAACACAGGCAACTAAAATAAATATGAAAGACGGACACCTAGGGCAAACTCATTAAGCCTGTTTGTGTATAAACAAGTTTAATGAGTTGCCTTCAGTGATGCTCCTGATCAGCTCCTGTGAGTCTTGCTGGATAATTGTTAACAGAACTCCAGTGCAATTTATAGTCGTCAGTGTCCACTAGGAAAGGCTAACAGTGAGATTTGTCCCTTTAAACAAACAAATGCCTGGGTGTTTTTAGCAGTAGAATATAGTTATATATACACAGCAGTTGTGCTTCATCTTTACTGCAGTTAAGGTGGACACAAAGTCAGACATTTCCTCCTAAAAACCATATTCACCGTGTAATGACAACGAACGCTCACATTAGTCGTTCCACTGTTAGTGAATGAGGAAAGAGCAGCTACTGGTCATGTGACATTCCAGCAGCATTTCTGCCGCGGGCCCTAGGTGGCGACGTGCACGGAAAGGTCAGCGGTGAGAACAGGTCAGTACTTCACACATCCACCACTCAGGACCCAGACTGATGGAGAGGCAGAGGAACAATTGTGCTGGTCAACAGTTTGTGTTTGAAAGTACGTTTTTGTTTTACATTCAGTATGAACTATTCATAGCTGTTCTACATTCTGGAGGCCGGCTGTGCCACTGCCACAGATACCAATGTAATTACAATATATCTGTAACAGCCTGAGGCCACACTGTGGAAGAAATGTGTAATTGTGCCAGAAGCAGTTCGCTGAACTTCAGTTTCATCTAACACATCAACACAGCTGCTCCAACAAAAGGAAAGCAAAACTTTCTCCACCAAACCATTCACTTTCACTGAAATCACATTTTTTGACAGTTAATAATTACGTGGTGAAATAGTGGTCAGTGCTCTTGCCCTACGGAGAGGACAATATTAGTTTGATCCTGAGTGATAACTGACAATCTTTCTGTATTCTGTCACTGTGTTCTACTAATGTGTGTGTGGGTTTTCTCCAGTTACTCTGGGATACTCCTGAAAACAAACAGGATTAGTTTCCTTGGACACTTTGAATTGACTATGAGTGGTCTCTATACAACTGTCCAGGGTGTACACGCCCACGCCAATGGCTGCTGGGATTGGCTCCAGCTTCCGATGCAATTGCCTCAGAAGACTGAAATTATAAGCAGGGTGTCTGTCTGTGTGATGAAATGTTCCAGAGACACAATCTTAATGATAATCTGAGATAATGTCAGCACTTTTATGTGTAACATGGAAAATACTTTTTCAACAAAACTCACATTTTGACTTGTCATTTACTCTTTCAAACTTTCGAACTCTAACCTGACATCTGGATGAAGAATTCTACCATAGGGAGTTTATCTTCAGCTTTCTGTTAAAGTGCTGGACATCAGACATGAGAGTGGTGTTGGATAATGACAAGTGTCTGCTGACTGTCTGTGTTCTACCCTCATGTTGACCACTTAGTCACAGGTCAGACATGAGCAGGTCTCTTAATGGGACAATAAGAATGACAGATGCTGACTGAAGCAGTCTGGACCTATCAATCTGATTCATGATCATGATCGGACAGAGTCACCTGTGAGAACCGGCTCTAGGCCAAACTGTTTGGATCAAAGCACAGTAAGGTCATGACATTTTATGTCCTGTCATCTTCATCTGCCAGTTCACAAAGTTACAAACCATGACCTGACTGTTCGGGTTGTGTGGTTCAGGTTTGCTCTGCGAACCAGGACTGAACGTTGAGACTCTGCTTTCAGTTTATGTGCCTCAAACAACTAGAACAAGCTTCCAGAAAACAGTTCAGTTTATTTCCAGCTGTTTACAACCTGCATTCACTGCCATAACTGTGTTAACTTGTTGGTTTTTTCCCCCCATTTTGTCATAAAGCACAAAAGCCAGGTCGTTAAAAATGTACCTAGTGTCTTCCCTTTACGCAATTAGATAAAATTGTTAACTGTATCATAAATTGTATCATAAAATATTAACAATATTTAAAGTCTCACATAGGTAGTATTAGTTACAATTAAAAAAAAAGTCTCTGATTGTTTCCTGTTATGATTTCCTCTTGTTCTCTCTCTCTCTGTCCTGACTGGCTGATTTCCTGTCCTCTTCACATATGACTGCACTGCCAGTGTTTATCCTGGCATCTGATACCATTCATCCTCCTTGTTCAGGGGCTTAAGTGGCAGCACAGGGATTTACTGAGGAACTGATGGACAGATTTGCAGCTAAAATATCAGCCTTTTCCCTTTCAAGCTCAGGGAGGAGGCCACACAGAAGACACCACTTCAGCAATAGATTTGTTTTCATTGAATGCAAACCCGTCAAGATTGAATACGACTGTCTGCCCACCTCCAGCCTCTGTGGTCACAGACTTGTTGTTTGTTTGATGGTAAAGGTTTGAGCTGTCAGGATCATTTTTTGCTTCTTTGTGTTCCCTCATGCAAATTAAATTAAATGTCACAGTAAAAGTTGGAAAATAATTTATCCACTTCTGTAAAATAAAAACAAAAAGATAGTTAGATTTGATATCATGTAAATTTATTTAAGCTGAAGCTCAACCAAATGTATTCTTTTATAGTTGGGGTTTAGGAAAATATCGATACTTTAATACTTAAGTACTTTGTACATAAGTACTTTGATACTTTAATTAGTAAAGATTTACTGACTTACAGCAAGGGTGTAAATACAAAATCTAACTTGATCATGACTTAACATCAACACCAAGGAACTCGCTCACTGCATTCAACAACATTCAAACTATCACAGCCAGCCCTCGGCTCACTGATCAGCTTACGAGAGAGAAAGAGATGGCAACAAGTTCCCTTTTTTAAAGTCTTACTTTTTTCTGCACAGATCACACTTACATCTGCTCTGCACCATGTCAACTTGAATATTTGAAGAAAGAGCTCAATTTAATCCATCCTGATTTGACAACTATAATTATGATGAATATTGCATGTTAGAACAAACATTAGAAATATAAACAAGTGGGTCTAAAGAACAACATTAAGCAATATATACACTATGTATATTCTTAAGTGTTACGTTTTTGGAGTCATCCCCTGTTGGTCAAGGGTAGTTCTACACCAAAGCTGAATTTCTGTCCAAAAATGGACTCAGGCAGGATGTCCACATCTGTAGGACTATTCAGTTACACCAGGTTATAACCACATATTATTCCTGTCTGTCCAGTCTGTATGTGAGACATTACGTCTCAGTCTCTCTGGAGTAGGCGTTTCAAACTCATATCCAGCTAAATACTTTTAACGAATGAAAAACAAAGGAGTTGAAATTCTTTTTTTAAATGTCATTATTGGAAAAATAAAAATGATTATTGTCTAGTTCCGGGCTTCATTGGGGGGTTCCTGGGTGACTGGAAAGTGACCCTCAGGCCGGGAGTTTGGAGCCCTTGCTCTCAAGTGATTTACTTTTATTATTCAGTATCTTATCTTTGTTTAACATAATATTTTTTAAGATTTCAAACATAAAAAATCAAAACATGATAAATATTGCATTCAGCTTCAGAAACACTGACTGTTTTTCCTGGTATTTTATTAAGAACTTCAAACATTTGATTCCATTCAGGGACCAGAGGACGGTTTAACATGGCTGACCATTGATTCATGTAACTCGATTTGTCTGCAGGAGTCTCTCAGTCATCCTCATCTCGCCTGTTACTCGTTCAAAAGGCAAAAACAAAGGCTGGTCATAATAAGAAATGGTCTCCACCTCTATGCACGTCTCTTACTTTGCTGCTAATTTAATATAGTCGTTGGGAGTGTATCTGATTTTAGGTTAAAAAAGGTTGAGTATGTGTGTACTTTATGGCATAAAAATGTGATTTCCCCATTTTTGATTCAAACAAGCTTTTAGAAAATTATGCAGCTGTGGTCACATCGGGCTCCAGACTGTCTGCTTTTAGGTTTGCTGTTGTGTTTAAAGACCCACAAGCACAATCACTTATGTCCCATATTTGATGCTTGGTTTAACATTAAGCGGCACACTTGACCATGTCAACATGCCTTAATACACTGGGTTGCTGCCATGTGATTGGCTGATTGGATGTTTACAAGAAGAGACGTTTATAAACTTTATTTCCCATG